CAAGAAAACACTGTCACGTTATACACACAGACTGGATGTAAAGACACACTAAGTCAAAACTGCCAGTAAGCCCTGGTGACAGGAAGGTGGTATCACATTCAGTGATTAGGAACAGAAATGGCACTGACTGGTTGGTGCAGGAGAAAGGAGACTAACAGCACGTTGGGTTTGAGTTCATCATAAGATATTCACAAAGATACTAGAGACAGATGACAGTTTTAGTTTGAACAGAAGGAAACAGTATTGGAAACAGGGACCTCATGAACATGAATCATGTGCCTAGAGATAAAAAAAATGTATTTATGAATGAGGCTATCTGAAGATAAAGGGGAAAAGGAGGGAACATAAAACTAGGGAGGGATACGCTGAAGAAAGAAGACTTGAAATTAAATCGTGAAAGAAGCTGGAGCCAGAGGAAAGTCAGATAAAGGAAGACTGTCACCAAAGATAAGAGGCAGAAACTATGTGGATGCAGGTTTAAGACTTATATTAATGGAAAATGGAGAAAACTGAGAAAAGGAGAGAAAGCTGACAGGAATCACAGAAGACAAAAGCTAGTAATGTTGAGAAGAAAAACCAGCACAGGAAAAGAAGATGTCAATAGATGGTATGTTGTTACCACATGGGCATGGGAGAAGCTATAAATTAGTTCTGATGGCATAACTGCAGAAATTTTAAAATTCTGCATGCTAACATCTCTCAGTAAAGACAAGCTAAACATTTTCTTTTAGTTGTAGACTAATCTACCTATGCAATTTTCTTTGCAAGCTTTATTCTATTATGACCCCTAGGTAATTTAATTAATAGATATTTTTTACCAAATAACATAATTTCAACTTACTAATATATGAGCCACTATTAATTTCAAGGCAGACTGAATCAGAGTAGCTTTATTTGTTGTGAACTTTGTAATAAACACTACTTATGGTAAACAACAGCAGAAGAAACAAAACAGTGAGATAAACCTTATTTTAGTTCACAGTGAATCATAAATTAAAATACATTCTTATTCTAGTTAATGTGTCAAATGTCTTATTTTAAAACTTCTCTTTAGCAATAAGCAACAATCAAATGAAAATTCAAGAAATCAGTGCTCCCACAAAGGAGAAGAAGATCACACTCAGGTTGAACTGAAATAAGCAGTACTTAAACACAGGCTTTGTTTGCCTATAGTGCACAAAAATCCTAGGAGCAATTTTTGCTGTAATAACATCTATTTACTCTACAGAATAATTTAATTTATCATGGAAGACAGAGCTGCTTTTAACTTAATTCTGCAGCCATTTTGGGAAGGTAGAAAAGCATGCAGCAAGATGAGAAAACAAACTGCAGTGAATACAAATAGATCCAATGCTACTGTAAAATTTGCCCAGAAAGAGTCTATAACTCATTAAAACCCTGCAATTAAATTAATAACATGCGTGGGAGACGTAGTTCCATAGGCTATGATTTGGAATATTACAGACAGGTAAGTGCACATGAAGAAACTAATGTTCAGAACAGGTCTATACACCATAGAAAAGATGAGGGAGAACCAAGTCCATGCTAGGGAAGTTTCTCTGTCATCAATTCATTTTCTGTAATGAAAGAAGGTATGTTTGGTAACTACTGTAATAACAATGTGAAACAAAAAAGTAGTTACTACAGATAGTACCAAAAATATTTAAGTTCTCTAACCTGCATGAATCGTCATTTCTATTTTAAAGCACAAACATTTTCTATTGGAATATTGCTAGAACTTCATCAAAATTTCTCCAGGCTCATTAGCACTGTCGCGTGTTTGTGAACTTCACTGTGAACATACCATGTATGGCACCTGTAGTAAAATCTATACTTAGACATTACCCACCACTTTCCATATAAGATCCTGCATTCAGCTGCTTGAAACTTCCTGCATATTACCAATTTTAGCTGAAATTCTTCATGTTAGATGACTGGTTTTGTAGCTGCTTGGTTTTAATTCAGCAAATAATTTCAAACTGTTCTTGAATGCAGCTGAAACAAATGTTTGTTTTGTTTACTAACCCCCACAATAATTTGTAGTAAGCCTATATCCCCAGTATGCCTTAGAATGAAGACAGACAAGGAGTGATTTGAGAGTGTACCATGATGATGTCAAGGAATATTCTACTAGCCATCCAAAACTGATTATGCCTGAGCTTTTGACAACTTAAATTTCATACAAACTCAATATAGCGTTGTTTGAATCAGGCATCTAAAGTCTTCAACTACATGTCATGAGGCATAATTCAATCCAGAGCTGCAACAGCCTGAACTTCTTTTCTCTCACTCCTTTGGAATGCTTTCAAGTTTCATTGTGATACAAAGAAAAGAAACTGAGAGCAAAGAAAATTTCACTTGGTTGCATTGTACTATTCCAGTGGGCACCAAAACTGCAAGGAGAAATTAGTCTAACTGGAAGTGAAGCAATATGAGGAGGGTGGCTGTAGAAAGGAAACTAGAGAGGAGAGACAAAAGAAAAAGATTCAAACTAGAATAAGCTCAGGCTTAACAGAAATGCAGAAGGATCCGAATGGATGGCTGAACACCAGCACATACTTAAGTCAAACACTGGAATAAAACCATGGATTCCCGAATTTTATAATTCCTCTTTTTATAACAGATCTGAAACAAAAACACCTTATCACACTGAAGTCGTATGAAACTCTGCTGCATTCACCTGTCTTGGTACAACATGCTGGAATTAACTAAGAGTCTAATGTTGGGTAGCTTAATGGTTTGATAGATTTCTCATTTCCTCTTTGCTTCTTGACCTGATTTCACAAAATAAAGCAGTCTTCCTCACCATAAGGACCTCTTTTCAACTTCTTGTTTGAACTTCCGTCAAGTGACTACTACCTATATTAACAAGAAGATTTACACTATAAAACTGATGATAATTTATTCTTGTAATTACCTTTTAGTTTCAACCCCCTTGCCAGTCTAAGTTGCATTTTGTCAAAGAACTACACAACACCTTTCTTCTCTACCAGTCTTGAAGCTAACTCGATTTTTTACCTCTACCTGTTGGAATGTATATGTTAGGCGGTGGGGCTGGCCAATGACTTCTGGAAGGAAATACAGTCCTGTCATAAACTTTTCTGCTTTCAACAGCATCCATATAAGCCTCTTCAGTCTTTTTGAGTTGAACAAAATGGCCACCAGGAATTCCTTAATGTTGGGGGAGATATAAAGCTGCCACAGGACTAAAACATGATACTGTAATTTCCAAAACTTCTCTTCTGATCTTTTAGAACACATTATGGAAATTCAAGGACTCAGGGTTGATTTGTAAAATCTCAATGGGACTGGATTCTTTCTGCAGAAGTCAGGTATATAGAAAATTAGACTTATCATAAAAATCTAATAATCAACCTTAACTAAGGAACAGGTTCTTACCAATAGAGTACTACGTTTTTTGGAGAACATGCTTTTACATTGTTCCAGGTTATTTGCAGTATCTGCTGAAGAAATCTAATGAAGTTTAGAAGAAGGATAGCCTTAAGGAGAAGCACATAGCACATTTAATGAAAATATTAATAAATTTTATTAGTAAGCAAGGCCGACATTATGGTTGCTATCTATACAAGAGCCATTTCTGACTATTAAAGTACAAATAAAACTACTGTCTTTTTTTCCCCCTCTCACTGCCACTCTACTAATATGGATTACGCTGTCAGAAAATTCCAAACAGATTAAATTGAAGAATTACTTCAGTTACATTGTAGGGCACTGCAATGAAAAACAAAAGGCAAGAGCTGAGTTGTTACAAAAGAAGGAATAGCAGAAATATACAATTTCCTGTTGTTTTCACCTATTTTTTCTGAAAATACTACCATTGGTGTGTATATATATAGAAATTACAGAATCTTGGGAATTGTTTTCTCTTTGAAATTACAGGTCAGTTAGAAAAACATTATAAGCAGCCAAACATATAGAACACGACAAGAACACTGAGAAATAAAAAAAAAATTAAAAACTACTTAAAATTTTTAGCTCACCTTTCCAACAGCAGCAGCCACTCTGTTGGTCTCCCCTGCTCTTTGCTTTCATTGCAGTGTCCAGCATTATGGCTGAAGGAATAGAGTACAGCAGAACCCCGCTAATTTACCTCACTACTTCACATACCTCATAATTTGCACACAAAAATTTGCCACTTTCCAAACTTCTTAGGCAAAATAAAATTGAAAATCCTGTAGAGATGGCTTCTATGACTCAAATTGCATCACCTTAATAAATATGCTACACAGTACTGACTAGTACATTATTCAGTATTACCATCAAAATGCAAAGCAAACTAGTTTAATGAAGAAAATACCTTTCTTTAAAACTTCACCATGTACCATGGCACTGACATGCTCATTTTCAAATTTTGAAATTAACAAAAGGACTGCCCGCCAGTGAATTAGGGAGGCTCTACTGTACTTAAAATTGTAATGTCCTCGTTGATACGCTTTTATCTACAATTTTCTTCAGACTGCATCACATGGGAATACAGCTACTACACTTGACTATATCCTGTTACATATTATAATTAGTGTCCTATCACTGTTTTAATTATTCAGACCTTCTCTTTCAGAAGTTTATATATTCAGTTTAGTGTTTGACTTTTTTTTCCTACATAGATTTTTTTTTTTTTTTAAATGCAATATATAATACCAAGTGAAATTCAGCTCTGGTGTATTACTCTGATATTTAATGAAAACCTATTTGTCGCTTGATTTTCCAAACCAAAAAAAGACAGTTTATCCAAAAAAAAAAAAAAAAAAAAATCATAGACTACACGTCTGCCTCAAGCCAAAAATCAGAAACCTGATTCATTCCCAACTGCCATCTTTTAATATAATCAATAAATCACATGGCATTTCTGATCTGGGATGATGTTTGTCAGGTTTAGATCAGTTACCAGTTCAAGGCAACTCCCACACTTCTCCGGAAAAAAACAGACAGCATATTACCACATTCAATTAATCAAATGGACAACTGTGAAAAAATCTTACTGGTCTGACATCCCCACATGAGTTGGTAAATTGCCGTGCCAAGCCAAAATCCAGCATGTAACACTTCCTACAGGTGCTAGGAAAACGTCCCATTGCGAAGTTAGACTAGGAAGAAAAACAAATACAGATAGATATATATACACACGTTTCAGTACGTGTACATATTAATGCAGTAACACAATCATAGAAAATCCACGTTCTACTTCTCTATCCTTCATTCCATATTTTCAGTTTTACTAAACTCCATTAAATTTGAAGAAAACATTGTTAAGAAAATCAGACGTCCAACTTAGCATATCTGAACAGCAACCGACATGGTCCAAAGAGATTGTCATCCTACTTCATCACTTAGAATATATTAACTTTTTAGCAAAAATTTCCCAATCATGTCACCCACTCACATATTTTGATTTGGACATTTCAAAATACTACCAACCTAGGGGCTAACATCATCATCTAAACAAATGTACTAATATCGTATATGCAGAATACACAATAAGGGGTGCCAGCTGGCTTTTCCTCTTCATGGGAGGGGGAAGAAACAAGTTTTTAAAAAAATAAAACAAAAAAAACCAAACCAAAACAAAAAAAAACACAAAAAACTCCCCGACCAAACAGTAAGAGCTGGAAAGTCAGTGAGGAGTTATGGAGGTAATTCATTCTGAAAAGCTTCAGTAAGTGTTTTTATTTGCCTCTACGCATTAACGCTCCACGTTAGCCCTTTAAAAAAAATTCTTCAACACTGATAGTTTATGATGTTTGAACATGTTGGCTAAATTGGTTCAAGTCTCTCTCCACCAGATCCCCTTAAAATGGATTACATGATACAAAAAAAAGATAAAGCAAAAAATGAGTTCTGTAAAATGGAATTGAAACTACACATCTGAGCAAGCTGGAAGCTTAAACGCAATTAACACTAGAAAAACTACTTTTCTTTTTCCATTAAGTGAAACAGCAGTACTGTTCTAAATAAATCTGAAATTCACAGCTCCTTCAACATCAAAGGTTGAGGGTAAAAACCTATCAAAACCATGAATTGAAATGACTGTGATCAACATTATTTTTAAATGGAACAGAATTTCAGCATTGCCTAATTCATCACATGAGGCAAATAACCAACCAAGGATTTCATGATTTCAGCTCAGCACAAAGCTGGCTTTTAGTATAATCTACCTAAAAGATACATAATAAAACATAAAACGCACTTGTGTTTTCAAGCCAGTAAAACTGCATGCTAGAAAGCAATCATGCCTTCTTTTGCATGTGTAAGTCACAACATTAACTCCTATAGAGGAAGAAATTTTTTTTCTTTTATGAATCTAATGTATTGCCTCACACTGCTGTTTCTCCTGGCTCAACATTTATTTTTCTGGGTTTTTTCCATCCCCTAACAGCATTCTCCATTTCCATCCTGTTTGAACCCACAGACTCCAAGATACAGCTAGATAACAAGATATGCCCAATCCATCCTGCCAGCCACAAAGGAACACATTTCCCATTCAAAACTTGAATTGTTTTCATTATTAAAACCTTGCGCTGCAGCTAGCTCATTCTCACCTACTTCACTTGACATTCAGTGCCTCTGTGTCCTTTCCCTATTAAATGAAGTCTTGGGGATGGGTCAGGGAGCATACAAGTTTTTATAAAAAGTTGCAAGGAAGAAGGGATGAAAATGAAAATTCCCTAATGCACAGAAACTTAACACAGACTTTATGTAAACATCATTCAGCTGACAGGAAATTTAGCTATATACACCAGATATAACCAGCCATATTTGCATCTATTAGAAAACACAAGATTTGCTTATTTTTCCTCATTTACTAATTTTGAAAGTTCAGAGTTCTAATGATATTTTTAATATAGAGCAATATTAAAAATAGCTGATGCAATTTCAGGAATAAATTCAAAGAAAAACAGAAAAAAATAATAATAACAAAAGCATGATGCTATCAGGGAGACACTATCCTCATGACATTTTGACAACACTCATTTTATTAGAATTGCACAATAAAACAATTGAATCGTTTTCTCTTACAGTCTGTCTTTTCTTTCCTTGTTTGTTATAAATATATTAAATATAAAAAAATTGCTATCAAAGAACTTATAAATACACCCTGCAGTTAGTATCTATTCTCCTAGATTTATTATGTGAAGATATTAATTGCCATTAGCCAAATGCATTATATCATATCTCATGGCAAATACATTTGATTGCATGATGCTACAGATAAGACTTGGAAGCTTTAACTACAGAAAATTGCAAGGAGGCCTAAGTAACTGGAGACAATGATGACAAAGATCAAAGTTGTTGTTGTTGCAATCCAACATTAATTAATAGAAAAAATCTGCCCTGATGAATAAACATACAACTTTCTGTCCCTTCTCATTTTTTCTTTTTAACATCTAGTACAGAACCTATTCTTATTTATGCAGCCATCTAATGACCACATATTACTTGTCCATTTTGATTTAATGGGCAGACTTACCGGTTTTATGTCCCTGTGCAGGAATCCCACAGAATGAATACTTTCAATAGATTCCAAAATCTGCTTCCCAAGCCGCAGAGTGGTACTAATGGTGAAAGTTCCTCGAGACTGGCTCCGACGCAGGTCTGCCAAGTTCCGACCCTGATCAAATTAAAAGGACTTTTTCATAAAAAAACCTAATACCAAGATTAGCATAAAGTCTTCCGACTTCTTCTTTACCTGTTCATGGTTAACCACAGAATATTCTCAGTACCTACTTTCATATTCGAGGATAACACATCTCACCTAAATGTAATGAGTATACATCCCTGAGTATCTCCAACATTAAATTTAGAATCTATTTTTGAAAATATGAATCTTAGTATCTTTCTATGCCTAAATAACATGGACCAAACTAATCTCTATTAGAGCAGTTCATATACTATTAATTCATGTTGTATCTGAGTCACACTTGAAAAAAGGCCACTGAGAAAATGCTCACAAAGACTTCTTTATACTCACCTCTTTAAGGAAAAGTACATAATTTATTTAATTATACAGTATACCTTAAATGATTTAACCAAACAGATGAAAAATATACTGTGCAGGAAATGCACCCCTACAACATCACAGAACTGTTGGTCTGTGAAAATAACAAATGACCAACAGTATGAACTAGAGCACACTTCTTTTTCCAGTATTCATATTCACCAAGATGATAAAGGACAATAATCCCATAACCTTAAGTGCTATTCACCAATTTTATCCCTTTTCACAGGATCAAGTGTTTCAGTAAAGTGAATTAAGTGTTTTCTTTTACTTGCAAAGGGTATTTTTTCACTTTTATCAAAAAAGCCAACAAAATGCAGAGACTAATATATTTTAGACTATCTTCAAGTGAAGACTTCAAAGCAAAGGAATGCAAATTATCTCAGAAGACATCGCAGTTCACTCTTTCAATACTCAGGTCTTTCTGAAGATGCAAACTTTCTTCTTTCTGAGAGAATTATGGAAAGGATATAAAAGGATAAAGATATAAGGACATGCTCAATTTAGGTTTGCTCACTACCATGCACTCACAATCTTTGGGGGGGGTTTAATTTGTCATCCTCTAAAATTTTACTCGTATTTTCATATATCCTTGGCTAATAAACCAAAACACACAAGCAAACTCTGAGCTCTATTTGATACACTGACCTGCAACTGCATGACCACATAGTTAAATCTGTCATTCCTTCCACATCCAATGAATCTACAGACATGATCTTTTCCTGAGAGAAAAAGAAGCAAATTAGCCAATAATAATGAAATTCTGTGGCTTATTCCTTTAACTACCTAGCAAATTACTGGAAGAGATAATTTTATTTCTTTAGAGATCTTTAATAAACTAAGCCCCCCACCCCCACAGTTCAACAGCTGTAAAACCAATGTTAGTTCTACCGCCAATTAAATAAAAGTTTTCTCCCATAAAATATGCAGCCCTACCACAGCTATCACTCTTCCGTAAGAAAACATGCATGGCAACATGCCTAAATGTCCACAAATTTGAGGCATTGTGGATTGGGAAAAGGTTATTTTCTTGCAAAGCTGATGGCTTGTTATAGACAATATTCCTAGCCACCATTCCTCTTTTTCTATAAGCTGCAGCTGCTGCCATGAAAGAAAACAGTAGCAGTTACCTCCAGGTCATGTTTTGTATTAAAAAATTGTAGAAAATGTAATTCAACTAATCCAATTTATGAATATCTTTTTCTAGTATATGATCTTTGCTGTTTAGCTACAAAAGACAAATTCAGCTCAGGTACACTGAAGAAGAGATAAAAGAATTGTAGTAGTTAAAAAAAATCACAGCTTGGTTTAAGCCAATTTTCTTTAAAGCCTCCTCCTGTCCTAGGAGCAAACTGTGGAGGAGAAGAGGGCTGGTCAAAAATAATCTCCTTACTATCCTGCAGTTGTAAGTCAAAGCATAAGATTCCCCAGGTTAATAGAGAAAAAGGCAAGCCAAAGACTGCAGTAGGGAAACAGAAGGGCAATACAACCTTATTGTCATTTCAGTATCTGTGTTCATCGACTTGGAGAGAAGCTGGGACCCCTTAAGACCCCACTGTATAACAGAACAGGTGGCCACTAAAGCTCTGTAAAATTTGTGTCACCTAAGGTTTCTTTCATGAATTTCTTTACCCTTAGGGTTTCCAGAATGTCATAAATAGAAAAAAAAAGAAGTGATAGGAGAAAAGCAATTAAAAAATGAAAAAAAAACCCATTACTGCTTTCAGAACACCATTACTGCTACCTACAGATCTGGGGGGACTTTTTGTTACTGCTGCACTCATAGTTCCATCAAACCCCTAAATCTTGGCCCTACAGCTTCTGAACATTCTCACTTCACTTGACAGAAGAGTGGTTG